ACACATGCATTTTTGTACAAACTTTTAACTGCAATATGCATTTTTATATATGCATTGTGTTAGGGGTTTTTTTGAGCCAAAAACTACCTTACAAAATTTGGAGAAGTGCCGAAACTGAAGGATAGCTGCATTCTGATCTGTGTTTTATTCTGGAGAGCACTCCTGTCTGGTGTGTTGTATAAACACACAAAGAAATCCTAATCAGATGAGAAGCTCTATATACTCCTGGTGTGGCATGGGAGCAGCCACAGAGGTAGCAGCAACCGGGACCATCTAAGTGGCATGCGCAGCAGCCCAGCTGCTTTTGTACTTTAGTAACCCAGTCCATGGAAGTATGGAATATCAGATGACTGTGGATGTTCTATGGGATCTGAGGTTGAAAAATGGACAGTGTGCAAGCTCTGAGCCTCACTGTAAAATAAGGCAGGAGATCACACATGCATTACAGTGGTACCTTGGTTTAAGAACAGCTTAGTTTATGAACAACTTGGATTAAGAACGCTGCAAACCCAGAAGTAGGTGTTTTGGTTTGTGAACTTTGCCTTGGAATAAGAACATGTTCTGCTTCCTGTTGAGTGTGTTCCATTTGTAAATTGAGTCCGCCACTGTTATGGGAAAGCACTCCTTGGTTTAAGAACACTTTGGCTTAAAAACAGACTTGCGGAACGGATTAAGTTCATAAACCAAGGTACCACTGTACTGTGCTGCTGGACGAATGCTGTTGTGTCCTAAACAATCGGCCTATGCATACCCAGTGTAGCAGACCTTGTGCTGGTTTGGCACATGGGCACCTATGAGGCTTATATTGGTCTGGTGGCTTACATGAGCAAGTTGCTCCAGTAGTGGCTGCCCTAGACAGCTATGGGGCCACGGATCTCCAAATCTCAGAATGACAAACAAAGCGATTTTCTTCATATACTTAATGGGACCTGCCAAACCAGTTCATCATAGGCATCCCCACTGAAGCTCATAGGACAGACAGTTGCCCCATGGCCTGAAATTGGGAAGCTGATTAGAGCTGGACTCTTAGGGAATAATGTTTCCCTCTGTTTCAACCAGCTTTCTTTAAAAGCAAGCTTACTCATGCCAGCTGCCTGATGTCTTTATTGGGGGTGTGTTTTCCCCCACCCCCTGCCTCTTTGCAAAGGGCACGAGCAAGAGTAATCCCTGGAAATTAGTATAAAATGAAATAAAAAAATCTCAAGTAACAAATGCCCTGTTACCCCTGCTTCCCCCCCTCCCTCCACACACACACACCCTGGAACATCCCCCCTCCCTCCCTGGTGCACTTTCGATGAACCTGTGAAATTGTAGCAATGGCCCTTGAAGTGCAGTGGGGGGAATGATTTAGGAGAATATTAAAGGCAGTGTGGAGATTCAAAGGCGCCTCTCTCGGGGAGATGTGGAGAAATACGCAGCACAGATGGGCTGCACAGATTAAACATTTCCGTCACATTGTTTCCAAATTGTGTTGCGGTGCCTGAGGGTTGGCACTGCGGTCAGAGCGGCGCAGCGGAGTGGTAAGGAGCCGCCACGCTTTTATGGAATAAATATTAATATGGCAGCACCACGTGATTTTTGCGATCCCATTGGCTTGGGGTGATTGTGGAGGGGGGAGGAAGAGGGTGAGAAATGCTGTAACCAAGCTATTGTCTCTGAACTTGGATGCTTTTCTTTTCTTTTTTTTAAATGGGGTGGGTGGAGGATAAATGGTATTAGGATTGTAAAGCACTTTGCAAACATAAGAAGAACTAATATGTAATCATGGAATTCTTTTAACTGGGAAGGACCAGAAGGTCATCAAGTCTGTCACTCTCCCAAAGTGGGGGGGGATCTTATATCAGGAGCGACCCCAACCCCGCCAGCTTAGATGTGGGGGTGCACACTGTCTTCAACATAATAAAAAACAGGGGGGCATCTAAGCTGGGCACCCATTGTTATTTTTTAAAAATTCCCAAGGTAAGTAAAATAATACAGAGTGCTAGGACAAACCACCGATCCCAATCCAGCATACAAGTTTTTTCCAGTTGCACAAGATTCTTCCTTCAAATAGAAGTTCAAGGAAAAGGGGGAAAGGGGGGGGACCTCCTTGTTTTTAAATGATGCACTTGTCTGCAGGAAACAAAGGCAAATATACTAGCACTTTTACATTTTGGTAGGAGAGCAGAATTCTCTTAATTCAAGCATCATTACAAAAACATATGATTTTTTTTTAAAAAAAATTATTTGTTGATGCTGTTGGCTTTAAGGAATTTTGTGAAAAGCCGAACAAGTTGATAAAAAAGTGGTAAATTTGACAAGTTGATACCAAATTTTTTTACCTTAAAGTTCATCAAGATTTAAGTCTTAAATTTTATTATGTTAAATTTCCCCCTCAACATTAGGATGCATTTCCTATGAAACACAATTCCTCTTACATTGGTGTATCTCACCTCTGAGATTACAACTAAGTGCCACAAGCCCCTATCAAGAGCATATTGAGGCATTAGGGTACCTGTATTTAGGTACCTAGGGACGTGGGTGGCGTAAACAGTGTTTCCGTGCGCTGCTCTGGTTTGCCAGAAGCGGCTTAGTCATGCTGGCCACATGACCTGGAAGCTGTACCCCGGATCCCTCGGCCAGTAAAGCGAGATGAGCGCCGCAACCCCAGAGTCGGTCACGACTGGACCTAACGGTCAGGGGCTTTTGATAACTTAAGAAAACAATCAAAGTCAGACATTATTGTGCACTCTTTCTCTTCCTTCCCATGAGCGAGTCCACCATCTTTTGATGCCTGATGTGGGAAATCTAACTGGCATGCCCTTGCACTCATAATAAAGAAGGGCATAACCCGTTGGGAAGCTGTCCTGTACATGCCTGATTGAAATGAATGGGAGCTGCCAAAACCAGGCATCTGAGGAAGGCTTACCTTATTACAAGACATCTCTGCTTCCAGTGTTCATCCCCAAATTGTCCTGCCTCCTCCTGGAAATTAACTGCACGCTTTTTTTGCCTCTATCCCATGAAGTTCCTTGTGGGAGTTTTGCAGCGTTCTGATTACATTAATAGCAAAGAAGTAATATGGGATGGTTGTGCATGTTGTGTAGATTTAATAATTCATACTAATTGTGATTTATGGGAAGAAACGTTTGAATACGTAAAGAACCAGCCTAGGAGGAGGAGTGGTGAATGTAAACACATGGAAAGAAAGAAAGGCAGCAAACCAGAATGTGGCTAAAGGTGTGGGCAGAGGATTTATGAAAGACAATTGAAGTATGCCACCTTTACCAAGAGAGAAAAGGCTACTTGCCTGAGCTTTCATATTTATTTATTTTAATTTTGCATTTTGCGTTTTCTATTTTACATATACAAGCAAAATAAGAAGATAAACATGAAATCCCCTTTGACTTCCCTCCCTGCCCCATTGGCGATCTTAATATTATGATTTCCCCCTCTGCATCTCTTTGATAAATCCGTTCTTATAAATCCTCTATCATTCCATAGTTCAGATTTTTACCACAAGTTTTCTGTCATTCCTACCAAAGTGTGTAATTGTTACAATCATTTTTCAAGTAGATTGTAGACTTTCCCCATCCTTTATTAAAGTCCGCCTCTTCCTGGTTTCTAATTCTTCCTGTAAGTTTTGCCATCTCGGCATAGTTCATCAGTTTTATCTGCCACTTCCTTGGTCAGAGTTGTACCATCTTTCCATTTCTGGGCTAACAGAGTCCAGGCAGCTGTGGCCACGTACATGAATAGTTTCATCTGGTCCTTCGGAATCTCTGGACCTATAATACCTAAGAGAAAAGCTTCTGGTTTCTTAGGAAAAGTTATTTTCAACATTTCCCCCCCCCCCAATTCATTACATATCATCTCCCAGAAGTCTTTTATCATCTTACATGACCACCACATGTGATATATATATATGTATATTTAGAAAACCCTTCTTTTTGTCCAACTTAAACACTTCATTAAGCTGGTGATATTGCAACCAGTGGTGGAGGAAGGGGGTGCGGTCCTCCCTGGGTGTCATCACTGGGGGGGTGACAAAATGAGGGGTTTTTTTAAAAAAATGGGCTCACAAAACTTTTTAGGAGTGACGTGGTGTCTTAGGCACCTGCAGGTTCTGCACTGCCTGAAACGGCAACGTGGGACTTGCGTCTGCCTACTGCCTCTCCCTCAGCTGCCCTACAGCTGAGGGGGAGGCGGCAGAGAGGCTCCAAGCATCGGAGAGGCTGGCCCCACCCCCATCGGCGTGGGTCACACCGCCCCCATCGGTGCAGATCGTGTTTCCCCTGGCTGCAGGACACCCCCCACACACACACACACACACCAGGCACCCGAGCGGCTAGCTACACCACTGATTGCAACCAGTCGGTTACTAATTCTCTTATATCTTTGAACCTCCTTAATTTTAAATATTGATCTACTTCTATTAATAATTCTTTATAAGTTGCCCAATCATTTCTCATATTCCTTTTTTTCACCAATATTGTTTCAAGTGGGGAGAGCCACCATGGTGTTTTGTGTTCCAATAATTTTTTATATTTGTCCCATACTTCATACACCGGTTTCCTTATAACGTGATTCAGAAAAGCTTTATGTCATGCCACAAATAGGCATGCCAGCCAAATCTGTTATCATGACTTTCAAGATCTAATATGGAACTGTTTTTCAGCGATATCCATTCCTTTAACCAGCAAATATAAGATGCCTCAAAATATAATCTCAGATCTGGTAAGGAGAATCCACTTCTTTCCTTGGCATTTGTCAGTAATTTATACTTTATTCTTGTTTCTTCCCCTGGCAGATAAATCTAGTAACAGCTTATCCACTCAATTCCCCAGAGCCTGGCTTCACATGCAGGGAACGTCCCTAACCACCGAGGGTTTGAATCCCTTCAGCTACCCTCACCTGGTTTAGCTGGCTAGTCAAAGCCATTCCCTGGCTCTGTCACATGCTGACAGCTTCTAGGAGCCACAGGTGGGAGCTGAGTGCAAGGTGGGGACCAAAGGTGGATAAATTACCCCAGAAGGAGCACAACATGTCCCCCACCAGAAGCAGTACCCTCCCCTAACACTCCATACACTCCTGTTATGACATTAATGTTATGACTAGATATAACATTCATGGTATGAATCCTTGGGGGAATCTATGTGCCATTGAATTGTTTTTGTATCCATAGGAAAAGGTATGATCAGTGACACTTGTGCCTGCCAACTGTCTAATCACAACTCTGATGTGAAGTGCCCATATTGAACTAAGCACTCTCCAGATATGTCCAGTGTTAGTTTATAGAACGTGTTTTGTCCGCCAGCACTTCACAACTGGTCTTCAGCACTTAGAAGTTAAAACAACTGAGTTCACTCTGAGATACAGGTGTTTGTGAGAAATAATCACATATAGTCAGAAATTAAGCACTCGTTCAAGCACCAATTAGAACAGGAATGCATCACCCATACAGCTGTTCAGAGGGAGGAACTTCAGACAATTCCACACAAGATGCAAATAATACATTCCTGGTCCATGGAATCAGGTAATGCCAGAAAACCAATCATGTCCCTCTACCTCCTTTAAAGCTCTCAGAGCAGCTGCATATCCATATTGTAGTCTATCAGGCACACTGGTCTGAAGGGAAAACACACTCCAGCAGAGCAGAGCCTTTAAGAGGTGTGACCTAGGAAAAGTCCCAAGGAACAGATAGAAAAGTCTGGAGGGTCTCATTAGGTCCCTTGGATTCCCAGTCTTCATTTGTCTGTGCTTATTGTTGAGAGGTTTCTCCTAATGTTTAACTGAAATCTACCATCTGTAATGTAAGCCCATTAGAACTAGTCCTGCCCACTGGGGCAGCGGAAAATAAGTACCCTGTTCTATAAGAGAACCCTTCAGAGATTTGAAGTTTACTCTCATATCTGCCTTCAGTCTTCTCTTCACCTGGCTAATCACACCCAGTTCCCTCAACCTTTCATTGTACAACTTTTGCCCTCTTCTGAAAGTATTCAAGTTTGTCTGCGTCCTTTTTAAAAGTGTGGTGCCAATGGAAAACTGGGCTGAAATTAACAAAAGGAAATTCAATATAGACAATTTTTAAAAAAAATCAAATGCACAAGGATAGTGTGGGGGACATCTGGCTTGGCAGGCATACAAAAAGGATCTCAGGATCTGGTCATTGACCATAATAATAAACATTTGATTAGATCTCAGAATTATAATCAATCACAAGCTGAACATGGATCAGCAGTGTGAAGCTGCCAAATAATAATAATAATAATAATAATAATAATAATAATAATAATAATAATAATACAATTTTAGGCTGCATTAGTAGCACCATAGTTTCCAAGTCTTTTAAAAAAATCATTTTATCCTGCACTGGTCAGACCTTATCTGCAGTACTGTGACCAGTTATTCTGTGAAGGTGATTACTAGCCCCAATGGCTATGTTCTGCCTTCACAGTCAGAGGCAGCAGTGCTTCTGAATATCAGTTGCTGGAAACCACAGGAAGGAATAGTGTGCTTGTGCTCAGATCCTTGTGGTACCATGCTCAAAAACATGACCCAGGTTGATGAGAAACCATTGATGAACATGCTCGGTTTTTCCTGCTCTGGATCCACCTGATGGGATTATTGTATACCCTGCATTTAACCAGTTTGCTAACCAAATATCATGGGGAACATTATCAAATGCTATGCTGAAATAAAGATAAATTATGTCCACTACATTCCCACAATCTACTAAGCTTATAACCCAATTAAAATCACTTATCACTACATTGTTACACAGATGATTATAAACTGACCCCTTTTTCCTCTGTTCTAGTGTGTTCCAAGGTATCAAAGTCAGACTGGCCACTCTGTAATTTCCCAGATCTTCTCTCTCCCTTCTGCACCCCATCTCCACACTGTGAGGTTCCACACTCTTCTCCTCTTGGGAGTAGACAAAAGCAACTCCTTCCCTAGTTGCAGGAGTTCCTGATATCCTGGAGGAAATGGAAGGAAAGTACAAGCTCCTATGAAGAGATGGGGCCCCTTCCTGACCCCGATATCAAGGATTAAGAAGGCTAGACTTCCATGGCAGAGGCCATGTCATGACTTTCTGCCTGACCATGAGGCAACGTAGGCTGTCATCTCAGAAAATAGGTTTTGGGCACTAAAGAGACAGAGAGGTCTCATTCATAGAGCACTACCTACAGGGAAGTTTCTCTATGTAAGTCCCTTTGAAATGACGGGGGCGGGGCGGGAGCTGCACATTAGCACAGGAGAAACATCTTGAGCTGTCACTGCATTTCCTGGGGGACATTCAGACCCTAGCACCTCTCTTTCATTCTCAAAAACTGGCCACTGTGCTCAGGTTTCTTCCTTTCCAGTGTTAAGCCCTAAATTTTGTTCTGAGCCAGCTTTCAGCCCTGGGCCAGTTTTTGAGGTAAACAGATGTCTGCAGCGACCCAATATAAAACCCTCCCATGTCAAGCGACCCTCCAATAATGCGTGACACAGCTCACCTATGAATTAGAGGCCTCCATTTTACTAACAATAATGTATGATGCTCCGGCACTAATAATGGGGCCAAGCAATCATATACCGATAAGCCTGTGATTGATTTTGGCTTTTCTCCTCGGGCATCCATCATCCCGCCATTGATCTTCTGTGAGCGACTGGGGCTGATTAACTACATCGCCAAAGTAGGATCGGGGTTGTTTACGAGGCGCTTGGACTGTAACTAGAGCTAAGTTGGGGTTGAGGAGTAAATATTGCTAGATCAGCGTTGGCAAGGTGGGGTGTGGAGCCAGCCTTTTGTTTTAAAACAGGTAATGTCTCACTATAGAGAAAAGAGTTTGCCTCCAAACCCCGAGACTTAGTCAGGAGCCAGAATCTGTTTTCCGTGCCAAGCAGGGCCAGCCCATGACATTTTGGCACCTGAGGCAGACCCCAAAATAGCACCCCTTTCCCACTAGGGAAGAAGGGACGAGGGAAGATCTACATCAGGAACAAAGGTGTGAGGGGGAGGTCAACATTGGGATCTGCTGCCCCAGTGGGCCGTCACTGCACCTTGCCTCATGTGTGGGCCGGCCCTGGTGCCAGGGCTCTACTCTGGAGAAAACTAAGTACATGAAAAAAAGAGTGCCTCTGAGCATGTGTAGTGATTCTTTCCATTCATAGTGAGGGCAGAGCTGTACATGATGAGAAATACAGGGCTACCAGCAAAAGCAGAAGTTTTGTATTGAGTTCTCCCTGCGCCGTAATGTGTAGTAAAATGTAGCCAATTTCTTGATGTCGTGCTGCGTGTTTCCTCATCATTGCTTCACATAAAATTCTTCACATCGTGGAAGGATTTGCCACATCCTGGAAGGCAGGATATAAATAATTGCAATAAATCAATAGAGATAAGTCACTGGTTGTCAGTGCCAAGGAAAAATGCAACATGATGATGGTATCAGAACATGCTGTTAGTTTTACTACAAGTTATGGAGGAGGAAGGGGAGAACTCAAAACCAGATTGCTGTTTTGGATAGCAACCCCATCTTGGATAGCAACATGTAGTTACTGTATACTTTGAGTAACCACAGAATATCCAATGCATACACTTCTGGGACCGAAGGAAGGAATTCCTTTGAGTGTTTATTCCAGACACCTCTTGCTTCAAAAAATTAACCAATCTCTTTGATGATTGACTAGGAATATAGCCCAGTCTTCCTCCTCCCTGTCAATCTTATCTGTGGCCATATTGTAGTTTGCTGTTCCCGTCAACAGCTTAGTTCAGAGTTCTGCAAATTGTCTCACTTATTCCACTGTCAGTGCTGTTGGCAGCTCATGCAAGTGGGATGAATTTTGCAAGAGCTTAGCTCCAAATCCCAGTACAACCATAATTAGGAGAATATAGATTCACATTTTGGGAAATAAATTGTAGCAAGGAGAACTTGCTTGAGCAAACACACACACACACACACACACATACAAACACACTGAGTCAAATTCATTTTTGCTCTTAATTATTTGCAAATGACAGCCTGTTTCAGTGTTGCCTCGCTGACAAGCAGCCTGCAGGAAATGCTTACTTACAGAGATGCTGCACATGTAATGCACATGAGATCCTGAACAGTAATATTTAAAAATACTCACTAAATGCACTTCACCCATCATGAGTAGCAGTTGTGAAAGCTGCTGCCAGAATCAGAAGCATGTTCCAGCTATTTGTGGTTAGGGGTACGCATTTGGTAAGGATCTTTTAAACATCACTCTTCCTGCATAAAGCATTTGCGACACATAAAGGGGCTTCTCCTTGTCTGCATGGGGGGTATATATAACATCTAAAACTAGCCTTTAACAAGCAGCAGGTCTTACCTTGGTTTAGCTCAGCAGGTGAACATGTCATGTGCATGCAGAAAGTAACAAGTTTGTTCCAAGGCATAGGCATCTCCAGTTACAAAACCTCACAGAGTAGGACTGGGAAGGACCTTTGCTAGAGAGCCGTCACCAGTCAGAGTACATTGCACTGGGTTTAATAGACCAAAGGTCTGATTTAGTATAAAGCACATTCATTATATTCCTATGACCACTGAGTAACTGCAACCAGCCGCTGCATCTGGGCTTACCGAGAAAGAACTCAGTGGGTGATAACTTCCCAATAGATTTGCACCCCAGTAATATACATGCACACATATTTTATACAGAAAGCGAAAGAGCGCTGCAGCCCTGAGGCTGTTTCTGCCTTGCCCCTCAAAGACGTATCAGTGGTCATCTTGGGTAGTTGCTGAGCTGTCATGCAGAACGCTCTACAAATAGGGAAACAGTGGGGATGGGGGCAGATGGAAATTAAAAGCGAGCGGCTCTGTAGCAGGGGTCTTCATTCTCTTTTCCGGCTTACGAGAGCTGCCTGCTGTTTCCTCCCAGTCTTACTCCCCCTACCCCCTGCCGCTACCTGCTTGCTAAGGCATTTTCTTGTGGCACGGTAGAGAGAGTCCAGACATCGAGACAGGAGGCATGCAAAGGACACCCGTGACGCTGTCGGAAAGCAGTAAAGCAGCCGCATGAGAAGGCTGAGAGTAGCCAAGAAATGTCCCCCTTGTTGCTTGTCGGCATCCTATTTTGGTTTATATGTCCTTTCCCATAGGTTTAGATATTGTTTTCCCATTAGTTGGTGTACATCAGCAACATAAATTCTTCTATGTCTGTGCATGTGCAATCCCTCCACGGACCGCCACGCCCAGGAAAGATTGATCCGCATGCAGCTGTTTCAGCTTTGCTGCTGACAAGAAATTTGGGAGCCAAGGGATGGGGAGAGAAATTTTGCATTTCATTTTTACTTCCTTTGCATATTTTTGCTTCATCTTTTTTCATCGGCAGGGATGCCACCCCTGCGCTAAGCTTATGTTCTGTTCTTGAGATCCTTTTACACATCTTGGATAACACACACACCTCTTTCAGTTCATGCAGTCAGCGCAGGTAAGGTGAAATCCTGTGATCCCATTCCCTAGGCCACAGTTCAGACTTCAAGCCAAGAACATTACAGATTTTCCTAATTTTTGATACTACACGCCTCCATTTGATTTCACTACTCAGCACACCAATTTTAGGCAGTCTTCAATGTACCTGTCTTTCATACCAGTACTCCTATGAATCAGGGGGTGCAGGACACCTGAAGCACATAACGTTTTAGCCAGGATATCCTTTTGTTGAGGCCTTTTACCCTGGGCCCAGGAGAGGGGCTGGGAATGAACTCCAAAATCCACTATCATTTTTGAAACTGAACTCTGCTTGGGATGCTGACCTCAAAGTTACAGTGCTTAGACATGTTACAGTGCTGAAACATGCCTGCAAAATAATTTTAAAAAGCCCCTATTAATGCTGGATTGCTGTAGGACAAACTCAGCATTCTTGCTGCCCTTGTTGGCATGAGTCAGGGGTGTCCCCTGCTAACTCTAAGCTACAGTGCACAGGTCCTGGAGCACACTCTGCATGGGGAGCCAGCTACCACAAAAGGAGGGTTAAGAGCCTGGACTCAGGATTGCTGGTGTGGCATGGGGAGCCTCTCTTGAACTGAGCCACCTCAGACATCTACCTCCTCTGTCCTCATGGTCAAGCCTGCTCTGGATCAATGGATGTGTGCAGGTCCAGAGGGTCTAGCGTCTAGCACTCACTGGAATTTGTTTCAACATTTTCTGCTGAAGAAGTCATCCTCTCCATCACCCCATACAAAAAAATTCCCCCTCACTAAGCAAAGCCCAAACCTCCGGCATCAGCAGCTTATGGAGGGAAGCTGGCAAATTAGCACCTCCAGACGCAAGGCAGGGTTCACCTCGGGCCGGGGCTCTGCCAGTGCAACTTCCTCCATTTTAATAGTTTAATAAAAATTAGCATAATTAACGAACATCTGTATGATCCAGAGCGGTGCAATTTGGCACTCGGAAACGAGAGCTTAAACATTATTGCTGGGAGTTTAATGTTGTTTTAATTCTTTTTGGCACAGCACAGGGAAATAAAGCGCCCGGCGCCGATGGTTCTCGGCTTGTGCTCATTTGCATTCCATTCTTCCTTTTTTGATTATGAACAATCGCTGGCTCCCCAGCAATCCATCAAAGCCGAAATTGTTTTAAAATACCTCACAGTGCTCAGGCCAAGGCAGTGCTTGGAAGAAGGTGGGTCCGGTCTCAGTCTTCGCCTTTTACATCCATCTGGCACAGTCTCCCTTTCTCTGCTTTTTCCTGGTGCCTTGGGCTTGTTCACACACACATCTACATCACTTCATTACTCTGTTCTTGGCTATTTTAGCAGAATGTGTGAACTGACTCTGGGCTGAAAAGCATTGTGCATGAACTGACATCAGGTGATATGAAAGATGTTTGTGGTGATTAATCTATAATGGCTCATTCGCCATGCATGTCGCCATTAGATGCTGCGTAGTCAACAAGTGATTAACATACTTGTGTGAAACAACCCATAGCCTTTATACTGAAAGCTGCGACACTTGTCTGGAAACCCTTCAGCTTGCAGCGTCTTGCTCCTAACGTGTCCATGAGAGAGGTTATTCTAGAGAAGAAAGCACTCTGAAAGTGCTCAGAGGAACTCTTCTTTACTTTTGCTTCACATATCCCTGCAGCTATTTAAGGAGCAAAATGTAGGACATTCTGCCTCACCCAGTGTCCAGTGTCCAGTGGGCCAACAGCTGCTAGAATCATGTTTTCCACCACTAAGGGAAGGGCAAAGACTCTATGGCCCCACTCACTGGCCAGAGAGCTGACAGTCCCGGGTTCTCCACAGCCAAAACAGAACTTCTGCCAGAACTTGCAGTTCTTCTGGGTGCTGTAGCAAAAGGCTCTGTAAGGACAAGTTTGCACAATGAACAGGGTTAAGTGGTAGATATTTTTCTGAACTGTTCCACTTCAAGCTGCAGGCGGAAGGATACAGTTTGAAGAATATACAAAAACTAACACAACCCTTTCCCATTAGAAAACTGGTGCATCAGGCAGAAGCCTAATCCAAACCTTTATATGTACAGAGAATCTTATCTACAAACATTAATACTGCATTCTTAAGTGTTATGGTAAGTTAAAAGTAGTTTTATTTGGTGCAGCATTTGTGAAGGGAGAAATATAAAGTATTTGGGACTCTTGCTTTAATGCTGCTTTATTCCAACAGGTTTATTTTATATGTTAGACCCTTGACAGTTGTATTTTTATTGTTTTAATGCAATTGATTATATCCTGTCTTTCTACAGTGTCCAAGGCAGCTAACCAAATTAAAAGTAAAATAAATAAATAAATGAGAAATAATAATTCATATTGCTATTTTAAATGCATGTACAGAAGTATAGTGTCCCAATCAAGAGAAGTAATAGTCCTGCTCTTTTCAGACCACACCTGGAGTACTGCGCCCAATTGTGGGCACCACAATTTAAGAAAGATATTAACAAGCTACAATGTGTGCAGAGGAAGGCAGCCAAGATTATCAGGGGTCTGGAAACCAAGCCTTATGAGGAAGGGTTGAGGGAATTGGGTATGTCTAACCTGGTAAAGAGGAAACCAGATGACCCTCTTCCAACTCTACAATTCTGTGATCCTGTGCTCATTGGACACAATCCATTAAGCCCTTTATCTTTTCTATCAACACCAAGTGACACTTTATGCTGAGCAGTGGCGTAGCGTGGGGGGTGCAGGGGGGCCGGGCGCAACATCTGGGGTTAGGGCAAACCCACAGGTTAGGGGGCGCAAATCCATGGGTTAGGGGGCGCAAATCCACGGGTTAGGGGGCGCAAATTACTTGCCTTGCCCCGGGTGCTGACAACCCACGCTACGCCATTGATGCTGAGTACAGTGGTACCTCGGGTTACATACACTTCAGGTTACATATGTTTCAGGTTACACACTCCGCTAACCCAGAAATAGTGCTTCAGGTTAAGAACTTTGCTTCAGGATAAGAACAGAAATTGGTCTCCGGTGGAGCGGCAGCAGCAGGAGGCCCCATTAGCTAAAGTGGTGCTTCAGGTTAAGAACAGTTTCAGGTTCAGAACGGACCTCTGGAACGAATTAAGTACTTAACCCAAGGTACCACTGTATGTTGCAATTTAACCCACCACTACCCAGAATGATGAGCACGTGTATGTTTTACAATCAGTGCAGTCTTGCTGTAACCTTTCGGGCTGCTTGTGTTTGTGGCTCCCATGTTGGATTAGATGGGCCATTGGGCTGACCCAGGAGGCCCTTACATTCTTACGAGTTCTGTGGCAGAGGCAGGAGTCTAAGCCCATGACATCAAGGCCCTTCATCCAGCTATTTCTCTTAACGCTGTTCTTACTTCAATTCCAGGAGTACAACATGTATGGCTGGTGGGTCGGAGAGCTGAACAGCATGGTGGGGATTGTGCCAAAGGAGTATCTTATGCCCGCCTACGATGTGGAAAGATGAATGGCAGGTAAGACAAGGCTGAGTTCGTGTCGTTGGGCAACGATTGTGGCGGATCTCCTTCAGGTTTAATCGCCTGCTATGGGACAGTTCTGCTTTACAGTCACCATATGATGCTCTTGAATAATTGCTACTCACTTCAGTGGGGCTGATGCACCAGAACAGGCATGGCCAAACCTGGCCCTCCAGATGTTTTGGGACTACAGTTCCCATCATCCCTGACCACTGGTCCTGTGAGCTAGGGATCATGGGAGTTGTAATCCCAAAATATCTGGAGGGCTAAGTTTGCCTATGCCTGCACTAGAACTTGCCAGAGAACTGTTCTCAGATACGTCTGTCTCTCAGAACCAAGCTACACATAATAATAAATGTGTGGCATGTGTTTTTAAATAGCAGCTAAGCCCCCATCCTCAATCAATTTGAATCGGGGCCTCAGCACAGGCTGAGGAGTGGATTAACCCTTTCCACTGCAGTGCAGTTCCAATTAAAATTCTTCCCACCTCACAAACTACTTTTTGTTCCAAAAAGAAAAATGCTGTCCCCCCCACCCCACTAAATACCTATCACTCCTGCTATAGTACTGAGATTAGGGGAACCTGCAGCTGCTACTTAAAGACACTGACAAATTCAAATATGCACTTAGCATGTAGTTTGTCCCTCACTCCGTTGCTCTTAATGGCACCTGAAATTCATCACCTGAAGTGGCTGACTTTTCTCATGGCAAGTCAAAAACTTTGAAGGAACTTTCCTTTTGCATTCCTCAGCTGCTTGCCAAACCCATTAATGTTTCATCGGCTGATAAGTCTTCCCTCAGAGGTGCCTTGGAGTTAACTGAACTGCACTTAAGATAATTGCAACACATAGTGTGATTTTAATCAGCCACCAGGAGGTGGTGCTGTTACATGTGTTGAAGGGAATGCACCAGCTGGGGGGAAAAGGTTAAAGAAGGGATGCTCCAAAATGGTGGACAGTTAGCAAAGAGAAAATGGAGGGAAGCTCAGCAATTGCTCATTTGTATTCTATAACTTATCTGGTTCTGAAGATCCCTAAAGATCTAGTCATTGATGAGAGGCAGAGGTATTACATGGTGTATTCTCAACTATAGAGAGAAAGCAATTTTACTTCCCTTTGCAAATAATTGTTTTGTCTAGGCAGAGATGAACTGTTGGGTAATTAACTGAGAATCAGCCACCTTTCTGTTCTGCCTGATGAAAACTATTGAGCAACTCCAAAAGATAGCATATTCTCACAGCCATATAAGCTGGCCCAATATAATTGTCATAATATATAAACTACTTTCTATCTTTGTTAAACCTTGGTAATGACTCAGGTCTTATCTGCTGTTTACTAATGGGAAAGTGGCTCTGTGAACCACTGGTTTGTCTTGGGACAGTTGTTTTTAGGATGGGACTACAAGAATGATCATGCAGTTGTTGGTTGTTGAGGGTTACCCCTGTCTGGCAGTGCTGCCCACTGATCTGGAACCACAGCCCCCGATATCAGATAGCAAAGGAAAGAAATCTCAACCATGCTCAGAGACACTCCTGTCTCTATTATATGTGACATATTCCAGGTCTCTGAACCCTGGCAAAAACAAATTCTGAGGCTGTGTTATGATGAGATGTGGCTTAAATTGAACAGTGAGTGGGGAGATCCATATCCTTTCATTATTGTAGATGATATTCTCCAGCCCAAGAGCAGGCTGGGTATCTGAAACATTAACAGAGAGTTTGTTAAAAAGGCACTGCACGCAATGTTTCTTGATTGTCTTTTTACATAAGCCTGGATTAAACCTGGAGGAATATTGTCTCTGGCTCCATCTTCTGGCCTCTCCTTTCTGCTGGAGCAAGCCAGGAAGTCTCCACATTAGGAGAAAGCATTAAGATTCATTAGGTGAATTTTGAGTTAAGAGTGAAGTGGAATTCAATAAGGTCATACTGTGTTGGCAGGGAGCACATTTATACAAGGCAAGGCTAGGGGAGGAATAGCTGGTTAGACAAAGGTGCTAAAAAGATGTAGGAGTCAAGGTAGAAGAACAAACTATATCAAAATACAATTTTAAATTTTACTGAATTAGTGACCAATCTGTAGCGTGGGTGCCACAAGTGGCACAGGCAGTAGAGTCTCATTGGCCTGACTGTAGCATGGAGTCAGGTCTGATTTCCTGCCTGCCCCCCACACTTAGAGGCAAGGCCACCTCAAGGCATGTGAATGGGGTGCAGTGTATGCTGCAGTGGAATTATGAAATACTTTGGACTTTGCTTGGGTGCCCTAGTCCAATAAATTGGCCACCACTGTTTAATTAACTGCAAGGCTAGCTCCATGTCTGCTTGGACCTGGGTACCAGATTTGCTCAAGCAAAAGCCCACTACTCTGTCACAAGCTGGATCCTTGATCTAGTGTTACATGCCACCCCCAATCTCTACGCCAGTGTGAGATTCCAGGTAGCTCCTGATGCTCTTTACTGAGTCTGCGTTTTGCTTTTATGGTATATGGTTTATGATACATGGTTTATATACAACATATATACAAGTGGGTCCTGCTTCCTCCATAGGCACATCAGCATCCTTGCCCTGCAGCTTGCCTTGCTCCCTCAAGTCACACCCCAGCTTCACACTGGTCTCTTTTAATACAGGCAGAAGTCCCACTGCCTTTGATCCTCATGTTGTGTGAACGACTCATTACCCTAGGCAAACACCTCAAAGGGAAATTAGCCTGACTCAATTATTTTCTAACACATGTTAATTTCAACTCACGAGGTGTCTAATACACAGTTTAGGAAGTTAACTCCCGCACATGCTAATTAAAGGATTAGAAGTGCCTAGTACACAGCTCAAATGCACACATGGATCTGTCTTAAATGTGCATGAGTCTGGCTGTTTCCTGTTTTTAATACTGCAAGCCTTAAACTCTAGCACCTTCAAACCTGTAACACTTTCCTCTGATATCCAGAGTCCTGAAATTACAGCAAGCAGGTGAGCAGGCTTTGTGCCAGGTCCACTCAGGTCACTTGCACACTCCTTAATTTACCCTCCCTGCTGGTTTCCCAACAGCCAAGAGTGGTGAGTTGGAAATTATGCCAGGTCTGGGACTAAGCTACATAGGCCCTTTAAACGTTTATGAGCCCTGGGCAAACTGCTCAGCATTCCTTGTGCTGGTGCCTTGTGGCAAGCGATTGCCTGTATTCACTGTAGGTTTTTCATTCCAGAAGGAAATTGGAGGCTTCCTTCATAGAACTTGAAATTTCCAAGCAGGGCTTATTTTGTGAACGAAGAGCAGAGGGGCATCCAGCACCCTAAGGCTGGATGTAGTGGGTTAGTTACCTAGAGCGAAAACCCATTTTTGAAGTTTGTGTTTCAGACACACATAACAGCAAGTCCAGGACCTTTTGTGTGGAGATTGAGTGATTTACAATGAGCACAGCAGTCGCCAGACATCACAAACGGAGGGGTTCACATCTAGACTGATGAAATATTGTCAATTTTTTAAAAAATGGAGTGGGAGGGTCTTGCGGAGCAACAAAAAACCTGGGCTGAATGTGGGCTGTGGGTTGGCCACCTTATTGATCATTCTATTTTCATAGTTTTTCCTCCCAAATGACCATCTTTACATTTATTTTATGTTCCCTCCTAGATAACCTGGGTCTCATCTCTTCCCGTCCCTTGCATTGTTGATGCAACAGAAACACTTCCTAGAACCCCTCTTTGCTATTCCTAAGAAAAATATGTGCACACGAGATGTCCTCAACCCACATTAAATCTGCTGCAGAAGCACAGTCTCCTCTCCTGTTGTTCCTTCAGCCTTTTCCATTCTGAGACAGAGTTCTTCACACTCTAGAGACTTTTGCTCTAGTACTTTTTCCCCACTTGGCACATGCTCTTGTTCTGCAGAAGGTGGCCAGACATTCCACATACATGATGGTGGGGGCAGTACTTGCTTTTGCAGAACACTCAATGGGGAAATATGTTGACAATATTTCAGAATAAATACTTCTGTCATTTGCTGATTAGAAAGTGTTTATTGTGCTGAGGTTTCTCTCTCTCTCTCTCTCTCTCTCTCTCTCTGTGTGTGTGTGTGTGTGTGTGTGTGTGTTTATCAGCTAGTCAAGTTTTATTGCTTTAGCCAAAGGCCAAAACATGCAGTACAGAATACAGTATAATTAGAATAAAACTCCCAAATCCCAGATAAAAGTTATGAGGGAGGCAGAAGAGATTCCATTTAGAACAGAGTAATTTGGATTTTGAGGGACGCGGGTGGTGCTGTGGGTTAAAGCCTCAGCGCCTAGGACTTGCCGATTGAAAGGTCGGCGGTTCGAATCCCCGCGGCGGGGTGCGCTCCCGTCGTCCGGTCCCAGCGCCTGCCAACCTAGCAGTTCGAAAGCACCTTCGGGTGCAAGTAGATAAATAGGGACCGCTTACCAGCGGGAAGGTAAACGGCGTTCCGTGTGCTGCGCTGGCTCGCCAGATGCAGCTTGTCACGCTGGCCACGTAACCCGGAAGTGTCTGCGGACAGCGCTGGCTCCCGGCCTATAGAGTGAGATGAGCGCACAACCCTAGAGTCTGGCAAGACTGGCCCGTACGGGCAGGGGTACCTTTACCTTTAATTTGGATTTTATTCATGCTTAAAATATTAAGTATGCTTATAATAAATACTTACTACTTACATTAAGAGAAACATAAAGATTGAAAGACAACTGGGTAAAAAAGAAATGAATGTTTCATTTTTGTTGCTATTCATTTATTGCAGCATCAGAGGTGGGAATGTGTTTTAATAAGAAATCTGGCAGACACACACTCACCCATAGTCCTATAGAACAGGCTGGTATATTCCAGCTGAACACACCTCACAGCCTTGTCAGCAAGCTGCTTGATTGACCTGTTTTCTTCAAGTCCCAGGCAGGCAGCAAAGACAAAAGGTTTATTGAGCCCCTGTTTGGCTGTCATACATGGCTGCTCACTGTCTACCTGGATAGGTCACAAGGACAGGCTAGCTACAAATATAGCAATACTATATAAAGGGAAAAAATCCATCTGACACAACTCATGGATAGGTATTTAGACCAAACTCCTAGCCCCCATCTTGTTCAAGATCTAGCTTTTTGCTCCAAAATCTGATGAAACCCAAAACTGATCTGCTTCAGCTTTAATAATGCAATGTAAAATGCCACTGCAGGCGATTCGATTCCTATTTTCTAGAGTGATAAGTGTTGGACTTCAAACTTGAACTCAGATGTGCACGGGAGCCCCTTGCCTATGGATGGAGAGTGTCTTGCAGATCTTAGTGGAAAAGGATAATCCTTTGTGCTGCTTTGCATGCTGAAGGTTCCAGGGTCAATTCCTGGCACCCCTTGGTAGGGCTAGGAGACATCTCAATCTGAAACGCTTGAGAGCTGCTGGCTCAGAATAAATGTTGCAACTAACACACCCAGGACAAGTGCACGGAAGGTCGCCTGCCTACACCTGGCTCTCTGGGATAAAGGTGGCAGAGCCCTCACTATCTGACACAATGGATCTAGTTGTGTGAGTTTTATTAAACTACACCTCCAGGGTGTGACATAGCTGAGCTATGAGACTGCAAAGCATCTGCCACACCGTGATGCCAGCCAGTGGAAAGCTGTTTCTCTTCATATTTCAGGTGTAGAGGTCATTGAAGCCACAAGATGGCGGTAGTTAACTGCTCACCTGGTACATCTAAATTCCCAGTGGTAGCAAACCTGGAGTTCTTCCCCTCCCACACTCCCCAGGGATGACATGGGAAAAGATAGCGTTTTAATCTTTCATGTTGACAAATCCAATGGACCTGCTTCGTGGATGAAAACCTATGCTGCGACCTGCACACAGCTTACTTAAAATCCACTGAAATAAATAAGATTCTCGGTAGGCCAACTCTGTGCAAAATTGCAGCCTTACATTTGGTTTCAAAATGGCTCAACTGAAACTAACTGGGGAAGAGGAACGCCTTAAGCAAATTCCTCTAACTTGAATTTGCATGTAGGGCTTTGCAAATGATTTTGTTTCAACATTCGCTGTTACTGAATTTCACTTGGCTTTTGTGGGCTGAGGAAGAAACAAGGAGAGCAATCTAGTCCCATTTGATCACGGCCAACACACATAGGGCTAAAAGGAGCTTGGATTCCTTTTCACCTGTATCATTGTCTGAACAAGAGTGGACATGTGCGGAAGTGACATGGCACAAAATAGGTGTACTGAGTGCACTTCCCACATTCCCATTCAGTCCTCCAACTCTGCCTGGGTAACTTGCTAGTAGTATAAGGGAAAGGGAGATAGGGATATGAGATGCACACACAGAGCTACCATTCATCAGATTGCCTTGGTATAAATCTGGCAAGCTTCACATTCCTCCCAGAATCTACCAATGGGACCTGAGGTTTAAGATTTTAAAATAATCCTTCTAAATCGTATTTGAAAGCAAAATTGCAAGTTTTCAGAAATTCTAACATTTTACCAAATTTCAGTTTTAGAAAATGCAGAACGCAATTCTTTGAATGATGTGAACTAGACTACCTTCATGTCAGTTGGTGTAGTGGTTAGTGTGTTGGTCTAGGACCTGGGAGGTCTGGGTTCAAATCCCCACTCAGCCATGAAGCTCACTGGGTATCCTTAAGCCAGTCCTAGCCTAGCCTACCTCACAGGGTTGTTGTGAGGATAAAATGAGGTGGGGGAAAGCTGTACACCACCTTGAGCTTCTTGGAGGAAAGATGGGATATAAAATGAATGAATGAATGAATCTACAAGAAATCTTATATAAAGTAACTTCTTCATGCCACCATCCTTTCTAGTGTTTATGTTTAAGTCTCAGGATTCTAGTTGTTGGATCTGTGGGGCTGAAATTAACAAAATGGGGGAAAGGGAAAGGACTTCTATCCTACTAACTAGGACCCCAGTGGTTATGGTTTCCTACCCAATACTCTTTGCACATTTGGAGGCAGGAATGAGGTGCTATCCACAGGATGATGGAATGGTGAGTGATGTAGATTGAAGTTCCGTGTTCACAGATTGATTGATTGATTGATTGATTGATTGCATTTATATCCCACCTTTCTCCTGATAGTATACCATTGATTACAACTTGCTTTGGACAAACAAGTGGTGCATTTTGCCATCATGTCCCATTTAATTTCCCTGAGACATCTACTTGTCCACTTTGCAGACAGAATGCTAGATTACATGGGCCCTTGGCTGGGCTATGTGTTGTTATTACAGCATGGTCTTCTTGACAAGTGTTTGGTAGAGAAACTAGAGGAAACAGGAACTCTCCATGGTGCTGAAACATGCATAAAATAACCCACTATCCCATTCATGAAAATAGATTCCACTTCTTACTCAGACTTTAAAGTCTCTTCATATGATGTGCAATAACATCCACATCAAAGATGGCATGTATACTGCAACATATGAAATTTAATGTGCATTTATTTCACAGAAACACAAGCACTCTCTTGGCAATGCTTTAGATCATTTGCATCAAAAAGGGGACCACCGGTAAATGGCTTGTAAGATCTTAGCCAACGTTGCCTGGGAAATTTACTTTGGAAAGATACTGATAATTCTCTTTTAGAGCCTTAAGATCTCCCAGAACTACATTTCCCAGAGTTCCTTGAGACAGGGAAATCGTAACAATTGATTTAAATTGAAATGTAGTCAAGCTTTTAGAGGGTTTCCATAACATGGATACAGATTGGGCATTAAGAATGGGAACATTCAGAAACCAGAATATGCAGAATGTTCAACCTATTTGAACATTACATCTTCTGAACTCAGGCTAGCTACATGTGGATGCAACTATTTCAGATAGCAATTAGAGAGAGAGAATAAGTAACAATGAACAAAAATTCATTAACAAATTTCCTTTTTTTCAGTATTTCAATAAAGGGTTATGAGTGATTCAATATAAAAGGTCAATTGTTTCCCATTTCATCTATTTTGTTATGTACTGAATTCATTTTTAGAGTCCAAGCAGATGTTTAGTGTTTATGTTTAATACTCCAGTAAACATTGCACTGTGCCAGGACGTGTTCTGATTTGCTGTTATCCTTAGCTTTACTGTGGTAATAAGCTGTGTCCACAACTCCACATTTACAAAAAAAGTTATTTCAGACTTGAGTAACTGTTATATTCAACATATTCTGGAAACTGGAGTTTTGTGAAATAACTGAGAGGCATTATAAAAATTCAAGAACACATACCAGCCAGGCAATGACACTCAAGGAGGGTATGAAGTAGGGCTGAAGCAGGGTGTAGCTTGGGGACAGGGGTTATGGCTTGGAGGGTGTTCCTGAGAACCAGACAGAGAGGTCCCCCATCCCTACTACATACACTTGACAGCAAACACTTATGTAGTCAGAACAGCAGAATTTGGAGGCAGCAATGCTTTGGCATCCCAGTTTCTGGAAACCACAGGAGGGACGAGTGCTCTTGTGTTCAAATCCAGCTTGTGGGATTTCCCATAGGCATCTGGTTGGCTAGACCAGATGGGCCATTGGCCTGATCCAGCAAGCTCTTCCTATGTTCTTATCTACACACTCGGAGAAACCCAAAGGCTGGCAGAAGCACACACCATCTTTAGGATGTTGACTGACCACTGTTGGAGGAGGAATGGAATGAAGTATCTTTGACAAGGGCATGGCTGGTTGGAATCCTGAGCTTTGGCATGTCCCACTTGTACTTTTAATTATCAGATCCTGTGGCAAAAAGCAAGTCAGGGGGGAGCCTGTCTTCTTCAGCAAACTCAGTGTGTGAGCTTCCCCAAGGCATCTGGCTGCCTGTTATTTGAAGGCGGTGCTAGGCTTGATGGTCCTTGTGGTCTGACATTTTAAGATAACAATTCAGTTCTTACTTTGGTGCAGGACATAAACAGACACAATCCTGCTGACAAGGATGGTCCAGTTGCAGGAAGGAAGGAATTTACCTCTCATTAGGAAATATTTGCCTACAGTTTCTGTAAGTCCAACTTTGCTGCCACAGAGACCACTTGGGCATGGAGA